TAAAACTGACCTGCGGAGATTGAGGTTGCGAGGGGAGGTGAAAGAGGTACCAGAGATTTGCTCGGCGTAGAGGCCATAGGGGCAAATGAGAGGACTGTTCTGGTCAGGAGGAAGAGCTCCGGCGAGTGCCTCGGAGGAAAAGTGATTGCCGAAGCCGGAGAGGTAGTCAAAGCGGAAGTCATCGCCAGCGAGGGAGGCATCAGGATCACTACTCTGGTGCCCCATGTGATTCCGATACGACCCAATCGTACGTGCTTCGATGTTGGATTAATAGGAAGATGCCATTTGTGCAGTGCAAAAGAGGATGGACGCGGTGGTGACGACGACACAACGGGGGGTGACGGAGGATGAGAGTCGCAAAATGGCCAACAAGGTAATTTCGAAATGCGTGAACTTCTTGGATATTGATGCATTTGTCGATTGTCATCGATGGATTATCGAAAGATTTCATTTAAAAATAAATAAATAAAAGATCATCAATAGGTTACGTAACTGACAAGCAGATTTATCCAGTAACACAGACAATTTTTATGCAGAAAGTGCTCTCTAAAAATTCTCGTAACAAGTTGACTGCAAGTTTCAGTGGATAATAGTAAAATTTATGTTGTTTACTTACCGGTAAAATTTTTTAATAATTATATTTTATAATGATTTTCTCAAAATGATAAAACATAAACATGTACTATAAAAAAGTGGGACCAATTGACCGATACTCCACCAATCATATTTATAAGATATTCCCACCATATTTCATGGAAATAAAACAAACTTTAAAGGAAAGATGGTTAAAAAAAACCACCGAAATAAAAAAAATTATAAATAAAGACCCATAACAATATTAGTATGTGTTTTCATAATAATAGTATATGTTTTGTGAATAATTTTTGTAAATCGGTCCCTGTATATAATTTTTTTTTCAGCGATCCTTTTTTGGCATTTTCCCAACCTTAACTCATTTTTGTGGGAAAAAAACCTTAAATCATTAAGTTTATTTTAAAATTAATTTTCTCCTCGTTGAATATGGGTGTGTTCTTTCAAGAAAATAATAGTCTATGAAAAATAAACTAAAATTATTTATATAATAAATACAATGAGGTGATTTGCATTGGGGAAAAAAAAAATCTCTATTGAATCTGTCAGTCGGAGTTGGAGCAGTTAAAAAGATGAGGGTAGGGACAAAATTAAGTGAAAAAGCGTATGATGGGGTGAAAGGGCTCCAATCTACGGTCGCAGCAAGATATGGATGCCATGTGGAGAAAAAGCTCTAATCATTGCCATCTGCCCGTAGGTGCCATTCTGGCACACTTCTAGAGGCTCACCATGCCTCCGCATTACACGTGTTTGGAAGCCAGCGTGGAAGCGACAAGCGAAAACGCAGCTGCCTTTGTTCACCCTGCTAACAATTGCAGTATAATTTTTTTTTTTTTAAATGAAAACTGGATACCATTAGAAAGACAAAAGAACAATAGAATAAAACAGAAGGGCTTACTGCCCTTCTACAGTGTCCGCCCCTTGGGTAAAAGGTACAATTACAGTATAATTAAAAATCTCTCCGCAACTTTCCTCCCCTGTCAGAGTGTCGGTCCTCGCCCGCCTTTTAATTTTTTTGTTTAAATTTTATAATAAAAAAAAACCCAATTGGAGCGGAGTGGGAAGAAAATGTTGTCACGGAGAACTGAGATATGGAAGAAAGGGACGGTAATATAAAAATTGAAAATATAAATAACTAAGAGAGTGTTTGGCAACACCAATAAAAACTGTTAAAAAGTATTTTTCATAAAACGAGACAATTTTTTTTACATATTTACCTCATATATCATAAAAATACTTTTAAAATTATAGTTTAGTTTTTACCTAAATATTCCCTAAATTATACTCAGAAGTTCAGGAGAAACAGACTCATAGCAAGTTATGGTTAAAAAACTGAGTTGCAATTAAGTTAAAAATTAAACGATTAAAAATATATTTTTAAAAAATTAGTTTAGTTAATTATTTACACTAAATGTATGATGGTTTTTATTTAACACACTCCTAATAAAAAAATTTTTAGTGCATGCAATCAATATAAATATTTTTTAAAAAAATTACAAATTTGCTATACAAAGTAAATTAGAGTTTTATAAGTAAAAAAAATCTTAGTTTAAATTTTAGTCCTATAAATTTATATAATATTTTAATTTGATCTCTTACGTTTAAAAAGTATATTTTCAGTTTTTTAATTTTAAAACAGTTAAAAAATAATGATGTTAAAAAATAATAATGATTAAAATCTTAAATGTTAACTAATTTGAGTAGATTAAAAAATTAGTTAATTTGGTTATTTGTAATAAATAAGTGTTATCTCTCCTAAAATACTCTTACTAATCATGTGTATTAACTAAAATTATCATTTGGTGAAATTTAACATGTGCAACTACTATAAAATTACCTTAAAAAATATATAAATATAAGAGATAATGTTGATTAAATTTTTATATTTATGATTAAATTAAATATCAAATTAATTCTTATATTAGGAACAAAAGTATCACATCATTCATTGTCATGCTGGGCCATTAATTTTCACATGGAAAGCAAAACTGAATAACTAAAACCCTCAAAATATCTCAACCCCACGTTCTCACAGACCCACAAAAATCAACCATGTTTAACTGAAAAGTGAGAAGCATTGAAATCGTGAGAGAATCTAATACGTTTGAATTTTAAAATTTTCACATCAATATTACTTACCATATTTTAATAACAATTGACAGTATTTAAAAAAAATGACAATAAATTATTTTAGTAATTCGTTATTTGATATTTTAAAATTTTAAAAGTATTTCTTGGATATTTTTTTTTAAATTATTGTCACAATTTATGAATCTGGTGACTCAGACATGATTTTGCATGAGATTTTGGTTGCTGACGTGATCTTGTCAAAAGACATTGCCTATATTATTAGAATCAATGAAATTAACTTGAAAATGATAAATGCTATAGACATTATCTCCGAATTATTCTGCTGGTGTTTGAATGGGAATGATAATTTGATTATGAACACCAAAATAATTGTTAGTAAGGTAAAAGATGATAAGAGATAGATGCCACCAGAACTTATGTTTGTTTTAGTATTGCAAGATTTATAACTAAGGAGTTTATGCTGTAACAGGAGGGTAAAAGATGGATTGTGCTGTGGCTAAACATTGTTTGGCTTAGTTCTAGATGGTTATGTGATCTCATGGAAGTTTATATAGTCTTTCAGAGATTTTTCCTCTTCTCTTGCTTTAGAGGAGAGTTTGAAAGCTGCAATTGTTGAAGCATCTCTGGCAATAAAGGGGTTGGGCTCTTTTGTGGAGCAAATCTTAGGATTACCACGCCCTCTGGCCTTTTTCTTGGTTCGTGAAGCATCAGGATTTAACCATTATAATATTAAGCTGCAAAACTGTCCTCATGAGCTTTTTTGTTATTTTGATGTCTGCTTATTTATTTGGCATTATTGCTCCTTTTTGTTATGTTGTTTCTGTCTTAGTTGAGCTGAGGAGTTTTGAGGCTGCTAGTTCATTTGTTGTGAAGTATGACAGAGATGTATTTTGTAAGGTGGGCAAAACCGTTGGCACACACTCTGGCTTGGCTTTTGGAGAACGATCCTAAGGCAGGAAGAAGCTTTGCAATGACTGCTGTTGTTTCTTTGTTGTGTAATACTGATAGGTGTGGGGTTGGCTTTTTACGTTGAAGCAGGTTTTCTTTGTTGTTTTTAACTCAGTTTTTGTGTTTAATAATGTTAACTTCTTGTTGGCACAGAAAAGAAGGTCAACGAACTTATGAACCTTCAGTACACATGCCTAGATCCACGGAACGAGCTTTTTTTGCGCCAGAGGTTAATTAAGTTATTCACAACTATGCTTTTTCCCCTAGCCATTTTATCCGTTTGATTTTACTAGAAATAGTAATTTTTTTAAATAATTTACAAGGTAAAAACATTTTTATATATTTATTTTGTATATAACGTAAAATTGTTTGAAATAAACGGATCCAAATTGAATGAATCAGCTATAAGAATGATTGCAAACTTCATTTCTATTTCGTTGGAACAAAAAACTTACTGGAGACAATAAACAACACAACAAAACTTCAATCACTTTATGACTGGTGTTAGTATATAACAAATTCTAGTGCACATTTCTAGTTTCTGCTTTCTTTTGTAGTGAATATGAAAATATGGTTGAAAAGATTAACCACGCAATTGTGATGACTTCTAACGAAAAATTCTATCCAGCTTACCAACTCAAGGCAAATTGTTGTAAACAGTAAATATTCTTACAGTTTAAGTAAGTAGTTAGGATTTTCTTCTATCCAACTTAAGGAACATATTTCCTAACCCTAAAAAAGCAGCAGCTAAGCTATACAACTAACTAAAACATGCATTGCATGTATTTATAATCAATTTTACACTCAAAATATTTTTATTATATTTTTAATTCAAAAAATTTAAACCACTCCCTTAGATCTTATTTATAAATTTCAAATCTGGGAAAGGATGTGTCAGGTTTGTTTTAACATTTAATGTACTTTTTTAATATTGCATTTAATTATTTATCTGTTATCATGTTTCTCTACCCATTCTCTTTTTTTCTTTTCTCATTTATTATAAAGACATATTTAAAAATAAAAAATGTATTTCTAATCTATTTATTATTTTTAATTAATTTTAACTAATTATTTGTTATTTGTAAATTAGTTATTTGAAATTTATAATAAAAACCAGATGGAGTATTACATTGAGATCCTTATTTTGTTGACACAATCTTTAAATATAAAATAAGGATGTGAAAATTTTTTGTATCGGCTAGTGTGAAAATTTTTTTTTGAGTGTTTATAGAGTTTTTCCAAGCACCCCATAATATGAGAGGAATGAAAATCTTTTGGAAAAAAATGGAGAGAAAGAGAGAGAGAATAAAATTTCAATTGAGGAGAGAAGATCTTTTGGAACAAGTCTAATCGAAGTCTATAATTCAAAAACACTCGCATTTTGAAAAAAGAAGGCAAGACATCTTCGATCCTCCTCCTCCTCCTTCTCCTTCTTCCCTATCTCTTTCAATTTCACCTCCGTTTCCTTCTCCCTCTCGGAAGCGTCGCTTGTTGTATATGTTCTTTTCCGACGCATTCACACCTCGCAATCTTGATCCGACCCGATCCAGCTTCAAACAATGGGCGCCTACAGAACCGAAGATGACTACGACTACCTCTTCAAAGTGGTTCTGATCGGAGACTCTGGCGTTGGCAAATCCAACCTCCTCTCTCGATTCACTCGAAATGAGTTCAGCCTCGAGTCTAAATCCACGATTGGGGTTGAATTCGCCACGCGCAGCATTAGTGTCGACGACAAGATGGTCAAGGCCCAGATTTGGGACACTGCTGGCCAAGAAAGGTTAGTAGTTTTCGCTTTTCTTCTTTTTTAGCGGAATGTATGAATCTGAAATGAATTTCAGGCCATGGATCTCTTTGTTTTAGTTACCATGATAAGGTGGCCAATTGGATTGCTTTACTCTAGATATTGGTAATTTGATTAGTCTTTGCTTCTCAATTATTCTCGCCTCGGTTACTGATTATCCAAATTATTCTCAATTATGATTGAAGTGAAATGGAAGCTTATAGATTTGCTTCTAAATGTAGAGTTAAAAGTTGGAACTGGTGATAAGACAGTTGTTTGTAGATCTATTTTAAAGTTAGGCAAGTATGAGTTATTTTTCTTTTTGATCTTTTTCATCCGTAAATGAAAGGATTACAAAACAAAGTGGCAGTATATCCAATGTTTCTGCCCTACGCTGTGAATTTATATGCAAAAGATAAAATTAAAGCAGAAAACAAAAATAAATATAAAAAGAAGCTGGAAGTATCATTTGATTTGCAAGAGAAGGTAAAGAGCAGGTTTATAGATGTCGCTGTGGCTTGACTATCCATCTATCTTACGATATTGATGGGTTGAGATAAATATGGTTGTGCGCTAGAAGGTTGGAGAGTTATTTTTTGGATAGTATAAGAAAATTAATCATGAGCCCCCACTTTCTGGGTCAAGACTTTGGAATAAAATAGTTCTTTCCGGGTGAAATGGTTCTTGATATGATATAAGCTAGAGTGATATGTATGCATAATCTTCTAGTCATGATTATTTAGTCGATCATAACTGTATCCAGACATTGTTGACAGTTATTTATTCATCAATCTACATGTTATAATCATTATGAATTTTTTACCGATTCCTTCCCTGCAATCTGAAATCTGAATGATAAAAATGTCTGAGCTTCGTCTAAATTTGAGAGCCCCCCAGCTGAACTAAACCGTGATTCTTTTTTTTCGCCACAGATATCGGGCAATCACGAGTGCATACTATAGAGGAGCTGTTGGTGCTTTACTTGTTTACGATATCACTCGGAACAGTACATTCGAAAATGTCGAGAGATGGTTGAAGGAGTTGAGAGATCACACAGATTCTAATGTTGTCGTCATGCTTGTTGGTAACAAAGCAGACCTACGGCACTTACGAGCGGTGTCCACTGAAGATGCAAAATCCTTTGCGGAAAAGGAAAATACTTTCTTTATGGAGACATCTGCCCTCGAGTCTATGAATGTTGAGAATGCATTCACCGAGGTGCTAACCCAAATATATGGCGTGGTTTGTCGAAAAGCACTTGAAGCAGCAGGGAATGGTTCTGCAGATTTGCCCAAGGGACAAAGCATAAATGTTGGGGGTAAGGACGATGTTTCAGATGTTAAGAAAGCTGGCTGCTGCTCGTCTTAAAATAAGTGACTATAATCAATGAAGTCTTGCTGATTGTATTGCCATTATTTTCCACCCAAAAAAAATATATTATAGCTGAATTTGATGCATAATGATCGTGTTTTTTACCAGACCTTGGGCATGTCGGAAGATGATTAGAGGTTTGAGTGGTAGAAATATGACATTTATGTGGCTTTGATTGGTCAATATTTCGGTCTCATGTTCGTTCACTTTTTTTTTTTTTTCACACTTCAGATCTTCGGCTTTATTGCTGTACTTTGTTGCCCTAGTTTAGGAACAGTCTATTATATATGAACTATTTTAAATTTCTAGTTGACCAACGTTCCTGTTTAATTGGTTGATGACGAAGACTAACTAGTTTCAAGGTGATATATAACGACACTCCTCTTAGTGGAAAATTTCTTAGACACCAATCTAGCCTTGCATGACAAGGCTACGTCTGTCCCTCCACTGAAACGCTAACTAGAGTAAGGCAATTACCAAGAGTCTAATAGGCACACATATATTTGTATAGGATATAAAAACTACACTTATCATACACGAATTATGAATGATATCTCCCTCATTCAAGCCTTCGTGACACAATACTACTTGATAAAGCATTAGAAATAACAGGCCCTTAGAATTCCTAGGTCGTTTGTATTCAGGAGAGAAAAACAATATCACTTTTGGCCTTTAATACTGCCTCTGGTTTTTAATATAATTTTTAATATAAGAGATTTTTAATATAAGAGCTTGTTTGACTTCTATTTTGGTCTTAAATGTAAAAATTCAATTTGTCTCTTATATTATTCATTTTTTTCCAAGATAATACTTATAATAATAATAGTTCTAATCAATACATTTGATTAGTAAAAATACCTTAAAAAAATAACATATATTTATTACAAACAATCAACTTAATTAATATCCTTAATCTACTTAAATTAGTCAATTAACTCTTATATTAAGAACCAAAGCAGCAAAGATATAATTGGTATTTCCGGAGGTAGTAATTAGCTGCTATATAAAGTGAGAGGTGAGTCAAATCAAACGCTTAACTAAGCAACCAACAGTGTGCATGCAACACAAGGACTCCTAATTATGAACTTTGCGATTTCCATGTACCATCCGCATGAGAAAATCGAGAATTATACAATTACTCGATGTCAAATATTGTTAATTCGCCACGCTGAACAAAGTCTGTACAACTTGATAGATACAATGTTGTGGTGCCGATAAATAAATGAGTTTGGGAGGTGTAAACGTCTATAGTGTATATATGTGCATGTAAATATACAAATATGCATTTTGTTCAAAAATAATGTATCATCCAAAAGGATTGGAGGGAAGAGGGAGAGAAATTTTTGACGTTGAATTTTATACGTCCTTCCTTCTAGGAGTCAATGCCTCTGATTTGCATATGGGGCAGACATTCTTCAGCAGCAACCATTTCTTCAAGCAAACGGCATGATACTCGTGCCCACAGTCGAGAATTCCCACTGTCTCTTGGTTCTTATATTCGTCCTGAAATTAAACGCAAATATTCCAGGGATTAACTTAGTGCATTGTGAACACAATTATTCCATAAAGTTTGGATTTTTGGTTACAAAATTGCTCAATACCAGGCATATGATGCAAGAATCGGTTTCTTCATCCTCAGAAGCTGCTTCCTCCGGATTAGCGGCAGAGGACTCGAAAGTTTTTGTTTTCAATTGAGTGGTAATGGTTTCCTCTGATAAACCCGTGCTCACATTGCCAATCCTCTCGCCCAAAGCAAGAAGCTCCTATGGTCCGGTTCCAAGTGCAATCAGTACAGAAGAAATTTCCACAAATTCAAATTTCAGCACTACGATAATAAAGCATGATCAGGATTTAGTCCACTTGCCTCATAAGACATATCCTCTATGTCCAAACGCATATCACCATGATGATGGTCAACTAAATTTTCCACGCCATCAAGCAAAGCAACATCCTATATGCGTTAACATTCATTTTATGATGAAACCAACGTCTCAAGTAATGTGAAGACACCAAGTCGAGTCTTCATAAAGACAACAAATTACAGAATAAAAATAATATAAGAGTTAGAGTACTCACATCAACATGGAGAAAACTCACTGGACGGGAATTGTGATGTCTAAGAGATGTATCCTGCACGACTCCTCTATGAGAACGATGTGCCCGTTGGCTTGCTGATGTTGCAGGGCCAACGTGCCTAGCACCCAACCCAAAACCATTCTGCATTGGGATAATGGTACTGTGCGGAGAATTTGACGGAACCCCTCTGTAAGCAGTTGCAGTAACTGGAGGGTGAAAGTTGATATTGTGGCCCCTTACTCCTTGCATAGGCAGAGTTGGAAGTTGATAATTATGGTGCTGGTGGTTAACAGGAGGAGGATGAGCAAACCTGAGGCTGCTTCTGTTGCTAGCTGCATCATGATATCTCTGCATACCTGTATTTGCATTTTCTAATGAACTTCCATTAACAGCTGCTGGCCAGTAACAGAACAAGAGGAAGCGTCAGCAAGTCCAAATCCAGACATGGCATCACGTTCATTCTTTTAAATGATGGGAATCAATGAAAAGGGAAGGGAAAACTTATACCCCAGCTTTCAAGTTTAAAATATAAAGCAGGAAGCAGGGTATGGAATAGGAACGCAACTCTCCCTTTTATCTTCAGCTAATATCTTCTGACGTATACCTATGCCTCAAAATTAAGACTGAACAAAATCTGTCCGCTGTCCAGAGAGCCAGAAAAGAAAAACTTTTGGAAATTTTATTCATATAATTTATAACACTGTAACTTGATGTTAGAAATTTCCTTCTGTTTTTCAAGCTAAAGAGGGGAGAGGGTAAGGTTTGAATTTTATGCCAGTCAGTCCAAAGATACATGAAGGTTGTCTTCTGCTCTGGCATAGTTTGGTAGCTTTATAACACTTACCATTCCATGAATTCTGTTTAAGCTCCCAAACAAGGGAAGGAATTTCTTCCATTTTATAATACAAATTCAAGACATGGGGAAGGAAAGTTTATTCTATCCCCCCTCTCCATTCAATTACTTTCAACAATGGCCTTACAGGAACAAACTAACAGTTTATGTTTTGCAATAGACATTGATCTTCATATTTGTAACGTGGTTGATATTTTAAAAAATAAAAAAACTATAGTTTTCACTTTTCATCAGAAAACCTAGAAAAGGCCTCTTGCTTGTCATGAGTTATTCACTAACAGAACATCAAGTGACAAAGAGAAGTAGGGAAAGAGGGAAAAAATATCATCTTCACCTTGCATATGAGGTATTGAATGGGACTGATTCCAGGCCATATTATGTCCTTCACTGTTAGTACCGTTCAACTGCTGGTCCAACCAGGGAGGTGGAGCTGGTTGAAAATGCTGGCCCAAGTAGTTTCCTTGAATTAAATGGTTGTGTTCATGCACCATAACTGAGTCACCAGATCTACTCCACACACTACCATGAGGTCCAATTTCTACAAGTGATGGAACGTGATTTCCTCTAAATTGAGGTAAAGAAAATGATACAGGAACCCCATCAGAGTGCCTTGCATTTGGAGGAGCTACTGAAGAACTAGCTGCAGCATTAAAATGTTGGTAGTTTCCTCTGATGCCCTCAATAACTTTTAGTTTGTATGGGCATCTTGCATCATCCATAAAAATTCCAGAGACAGCATATGTGCCTGGAGCTGGCAATTGATCAGTTGCTCGGTAATTAATGGGCTGAGGTACTACACCAGCACCAGAGGCGGGATTAATTGCAGAATAAAACAAGCTAGAACATGCAGCGGCACCAACATCAGGATTGGGTAGATGATGAACCCCATTAAACTGTGTCATCCATACAGCAAACGTTGTCATAAGCATCTGCCGAATAGTGGGAATCAATATTACTAGTGCTTCCTGAAGCTGCCACCATTGAGCGGATATTTGGCTGTGAGATGCTGGGCCCCCTCAGAATAATACAGGGTTCAGAATGATAATAGTCTTGCCTTCGTCGATCCATTTCCAAATCAGTCATCTGACACTGAAATTTCATCATATTAGGTGAATAAATCAATCTGAACCAGATGAATGACTAATAAAAGAGCTCTCAGCATTTTTCCACTTTCACTTGTTCCGAGATTGCAACAATATGTTCATCTAGTAAAGGGTCTGTTAAATACATAGATAAAATAATGAATTAATCTTACCTTTTGTTTTCACTTTCTCTTTCAATTATCCACGATTCACAATTATTTTTATGTAAAATATTTAATTTTGAATTTGCATAATTGACAAGATTGTGCCCCATTTATCAACCCGATGATATAACAACAAAAGAAAAACGCTGATTAAAAAACGGAAAAAAAAAAAAAAAAGCGCATGCCACCAATGTCTCAAACTCAGGTTAACCTCAGAGCCATATTGAGCTAAGCCTCAAAGACATTCGGTCAGACTAAAATTATTATAAAACAGAAACAAAGTAAAGGGAAGCTGAGAACACAACACATATGATAATGACATTTTGTTGCAAGCTAGGAACTTCTTGACATACTCTCATCAAACAAAACGACAGATCACAATTAAGAACAAGTCAAACGAGAATGGTAAGTCCCATTTCATTAGAAACCATTCAGCCTAAAATGACAAAGGAATTCTTAAATTGTCTTCGTATATTTCCAGCATACTCCAAGGGTAACTTACTTTGAGAACAGATTTCCTTAAGACCAAATGAAAGGTGAATACCGAAAATTCATTCAACAGTGCCCCCCAAAAAAATCCTATATTCGGACTACAAGGAAAATATTACATCATTCTGTGAAGGAAAAAAATCTCCTGAAAAGCATATGGCTTCATCGAAAAATTTAAAGCTCTGCACCAAAAAAAAAGTACCCAACAAGAAATAACCAGACCTTAAGAAGAAAGTATCCAACTATATCATCCATTCATCCCCAATTGATCACCCACCACATACTAAAACAAAGTTCAATAACCACACCTTCTAAACATGCAAAGCTTGCAACTTCCGAGTTTCAAAGGTCAATATAATTCACAACGTCCAGGAAACCGATTCTGGCGAACAGTAAACGAAAATATTATCACTGGGTCCGAAGAGAATATCAAAATTAAAATCGGCTACAGTGAATGCCTTCATAAACCAGGAATGCAAGTTCCTTGCTTTCACCCGATGATCAAGACATCAAATTTATAGCCCTAAATAACCATAAAACACAAAAATTTACAGGCAAAGAAACGAAACTTGAAGGAAAAACGAATGGGATAAACCCAATTACCGTAGAAAGAAACCAAAAGCTAGAGATGATCACAATCTGTGATCGA